CTTTCAATTTTCCTAACTAAGGAGTTTAATTTCTTAATCTTACCATCCAAGGCGTTCTTGAAAGTGAACTGCTGAGGTGGCTAACGGAGATGGTTAAGGGGGACATGATCTGTCGATGTGTCAAGAAACCTTTTAATACATAGCTTACATGGACTTAAATATGCTGACTAAGCATTCTTAAATGAAAATAATAATAATGCTAATAATAATAATTTATGTCCAACAAGACAATGAATCTTTTTCATTAAACCCATATGTTTCTTTTCTCAATCTCTCCTCATTTTTAATTTTCTAAATTGAGCAGCTAGGGTTTTGCTTTTGCATCCTCCTCTTTTATTTCTTCCTCTTTGTTTCTTACCAAATTTTTGTACTTGCAATTAGGGGTTATGTAAGGATCACAAACAATTTTAGAAGAATTATCAAAAGTAACATTAATGGTAGAAATTTTTTAATTTGCACACTCCACTAATTTCTAATCTTATTATCTAACGCAACTTGTTTTTCTAAAACTATCTGTGCATCTATCAATACAACTCTTCAATTAGCTTCTGCAAATCTTCTTGCCTATTAGCATTTTTTTTTTTTATGGATTTAAAACTATCCGTAGCTCTTTGGTAGTCCAAGTAGGAAATCCCTAAGAAGGAATGTCATAGACAACCGCCCTAGGTTCATATTCTCAAAAACTGTTTTCTTGCGTAGCCATCCAGAAGAAAAATATTTACATTGTAAGATCTCCTGAAAACCCTATTTCAAGTGATCCTATAGCTAAAATGGCTAAGTTTGGTAACGACGATTTTCCTAGCTACGATGGAATAGATAATTTTAGGGGATGGTTATATAAATGTAATCGGTTCTTTTAGGCTCATAACATTTTTGATGGCATAAGGTGGAAAGTACATCTCTGTATCTATGTGGAGATGCGATTGTGTGGCATGAGTATTATATGCAAGATAGGTGACTTTTCTAGACTAGGGGGACTATAACTTTGATATGAGTTTGAGGTCTGGGGAGGGTGAGTTGCAGGATCCCATTGTTTTGTGGAAAAACCTTAATCAGACTAGTAGTGTAAGTGATTACTAGAGGGATTTAAAAAGGATTAGAGCAAGGCTTAAGTGTTTAGAGAGACAATCTGTGGCTATGTTTATGGGTGGCTTGAAGGAGGAGATCCAACATGCAGTAACCTGCTATAACCCAAAATCTGTGAGGGAGGCCTATGCTATTGCCAAACAACAGGAATTGTCTGTGAACTTTATATTGAAAAAGGTTTGAGTTCCACTACCACCTTTTAAGAGTTTACCCCTTTTATTACCCTTGCCTCCAGATTCATAGAGGTTACCACTTCCAAATTCAAGCATCTATACAAAAAACTCCTTCCAACCTAATTCCTCTAAATTTCCACCAATCAACCCCAATAACAACCTTCTAATATCTACTATAGCTAAGAACAAACTAAGGAATATTGGAACTTGTCTGAGGTTGAATTAGAGGATAAGAAGCAAAAAGGGTTGTGCTTTTGGTGTGATGAGAGATATGGTCCAAGGCATAAATGTAGCAAGAAGAAACTTTATAACATGGAGATAATTTCCATAGATGAAGATGCCGGAAGTGTAGAAGCTAATGATGCGAATTTTGATCTTAATTAGATGCTTATCATAAAGCCACAGATCTCAATCCATGCATTGACTAGTGAGGTGGGTTATAATAATATTAAGGTGCTAGGTCAAGTGGGCAAAAGGCAGATTTTGATACCAATTGATTTAGGAAGTATCCGTAACTTCCTTAATGCTAAGTTGGCCAAGGAGCTATGGTGTGAGATAAAGGGAACAAAACTTACTAAGTCACTTTGGTTGATGGTAGTAAGGTAACAAGGGCTGAGGAGTGTGATACGTTTGAATAGGAAGTCTAAGGGCATGTGTTTACTACTGAAGTGATGTTGCTACTAGTGAGGGAATATGACCTTATTCTAGGAATACGACCTTATTCTAGGAATACAATGGCTAGAACCTCTTAGCAAAGTCTTATGGGACTTTAAATGTAGAACTTTGCACTTCAAGTATAATGACCAATTAGTTCACATAAAGGCTACCCCTAAACCAACTGTCAAATGGGTTCAAAATGATAAGTTATTGCCCTTGTTGAAGAAGGAGCAGGATGATAGAAGTAATTATTTTTGGTATAGGTGGTGTCGGGGGTTGACTCTGGATGTAGCCTTAATGCCACTGAGTTTGCTGAGAAACCTATGGGCTTGAGGAAATTGTTAAAGGAATTTTCAGATGTGTTTGACAAACCTAAGTCATTACCTCCTTCTAGAAGCTTGGATCATTAGACTTATTTGAAGACAAGTATAAAGCCCATTAATATCAAACCTTATAAGTACCCTTCTATACAAAAGGATGCAATGGAATAGATAATGACTGAAATGTTGCAGTCTGGTGTGATAAAAAACAATACCAGTTCTTTTTCTTCACTAGTGGTAATGGTTAAAAAGAAGGATGGTACCTAGAGGATGTGTATTGACTATAGGGTACTAAATAAAGCTACCATGAAGCAGAAGATCCTTATGCCTATGATTGAAGAATTGTTGGATGAGCTACATGGGGCCAAATATTTCTCCAAAATTGATTTGAGCTCTGGTTATCACCAAATCAAGATGAAGAAGCGGATATTCGCAAAATCGCTTTTAAGACACACCAAGGGCACTATGAATTTTTAGTGATGCTTTTTGGCCTTACTAATGCTCCTTCCACCTTTCAAGCAACAATGAATTCTGCTTTTCAACTATACTTAGGGAAATTTGTTCTAGTGTTTTTTTATGATATATTAGTTTAGAGCCACACTTGGGAACAACATTTGCAGCACTTGCGGATTGTATTGGAAGTTTTAAGGCAGCATACATTTTTTGCTAAGTTAAGTAAGTATGTCTTTGGCATGCAACAAATTGAGTATTGGGCTATATTATATCTTTTCAAGTGGTAGCCACTAATCCAAATAAGATTGTAGCTCTAAATGAGTGGCTTGTGCTTAGAAACGTAAAGGAACTTAGAGCGTTTCTTAGGTTGATAAAGTATTACAGAAGATTTGTAAAAAATTATGGGTTGATTTCTAGACCTCTCACTAATTTACTTAAAAAGAATAGGTTCACTTGGGGGGCAAGAGACACAAAAAGCCTTTGAAAAGTTGAAAGGGGCTATAACATCTACTCCAGTTTTAGCCTTACCCAATTTCTAATAAGAGTTTGTATTAAATTTGATGCATTTGGAAATGGTGTAAGAGCAGTATTAATGCAGAATAATCACCCAATTGCTTTTTTAAGTAAGGCCTTAGCTCCAAAACATCAAGGTATGTTTACTCATGAGAAGGAGTTGTTGGCTTTAGTATTGGCAGTGACTAAATGGAGACCTTACTTAGTTAGGAGGCACTTTGTTATCAAGATGGACCACCATAGTCTTAAATACTTGCTGGAATAGAGGATTGTTACTTTGGCACAACAAAAATGGCTATCTAAACTTTTGGGTTATGATTATGAAATCAGATACAAGAAAGGGACAAAGAATCATGTAGTTGATGTATTATATGTCTTGTGTGAGGATATCTTTAATGGCTTTATCTTCTATCTCTACTACTTTGATGGTTGAGATTCAGGATTCTTGGCATAAGGATCCAAGGTTACAACAAATCATAACCATGCTATAGGCTAAGAGTAACAATGATGGAAAATATTCCTATGTGGATCACTAGTTAAAAAGAAAAGGAAAGGTGATGGTGTGTAATGATATGTAGCTAAGGACCAAGTTAATATAGATGATACATACTAAGGCTATATAAGGGCACTTAAGAGCACTAGCTACTACATAGAGGCTGTCTTCATTGGTTTATTAGAAAGGCATGAAAAAGGATATCATAAATTTTATTCAAGGCTACCACATTTGTCAATTACACAAGTATGAACCCACTTGCCAAGTAGGTTTTTTATAACCATTGCCTCTACCTCATCAAGTTTAGGAAGAAGTCTCTATAGACTTTATTGAGGGTTTCCAAGTTCCCAAGGCTATATTGTCATCATAGTTGCGGTAGATTGGTTGAGTAAGTATGCCCATTTCATACCAGTAATGCACCCTTATACTACCTCAAAGATTGCTTAGTTTTATCTGTCTCACATCTATAAGCAGCATGGCATGCCTATAGAGATTGTGAGTGCCAAGGATCCAATATTCACTAGTTTGTTCTAGAAGGAGGTATTCAAATTATGCAAGGTTTCTTTACATATGTCTTCTACATATCACCCCCAATCTAATGGGTAGACAAAGGTACTTAATTGTTGTGTGGTGAATCTCCTAAAGAATGATCATCTTAGCTTTCTTTGGTGGACTACTGGTATAATACCAACTTCCATTATGCTAACCAAACCACACCTTATTAGGTTTTATATGGTTAGCTTGCTCCTATGGATATTCCATACCTTCCTAGGGATTCCAACTCTTAAGTAGTTAATAGAACCTTACTAGCAAGGAAGCAAGCTTTATAGTTGCTCAAATTTCATTTAATAAGGGTACAGAATAAAATGAAGTAACTTTCATTCAAGAACAGATCTAATAGGGAATTTGATGTGGGGGATCAAGTTTATCTGAAACTTCAACCATTCTGACAATCTAGTTTGTTGCAAACTTTGACTCATAAGTTGAATCCTAGGTATTGTGGACCATTTGTGGTACTTCAGAGGGTTGGTCCTATGGCTTACAAGTTGTAATTGCCAGAAAATGCCAAGATACATAATGTCTTTCATGTTTCTTTGTTGAAGAAGAAGGTGGGAATTTGATGAGCCTAAATTTCATACAATTATACATGGCTTTTTAGTCATGAATTGTAGTGTTTTATATTTTATTGGAACAATTTTATTTGGT